TATATAATATTATTTCTAGTTTCTATAATATCTTTTTATAGCTATTTCTCTAGTCAATTTCTTCTTAGAAATAATTAATCTATATAAATTATATTAAAAAGATACTATATTTAAATTTAGTATAAAGTTCTATTTATTTAGATTTAATATTTACTTATCTCTATATTTCTAGTATATATAACAATATAAAAAGATAGTAAAATTCGCATTTACCAGCGCGCGGCCGTTTTCGGCAGTCACCTGGTCTGGGTTTAGCGCCCGTCCGACGGTTGCCTGTAAAGGCTTAGCGTTGACCAGATCGAGTCTAGCTTATCGCTCTATCCCGCAACGGGAATTGCCGCCTGCCTCCGCCCTTCCAGTCCTTTGTCGACTATATAAGATTACCGGTATGTCGCTGAATAACTTCTTCTTTCTACAATCTTTATTTCTATTATAATTTGTCTGGTTCTAGATTATTTGTGCTATCCGGAGCTTATTACTCTGGTCCCTGTCTTCTTGTAATAATACTCTCTGAATAAGTATATATAGCCCTGTCTGCCCTTACTGTCGACTGGGTTTGCTTAAATCCACTGCTATTGCTTGAATAAGCTGACACTGCAAGGTGCTATCTGACTAGATAAGTTGGAAATCTGTACTGAACACAGAAATATATTATATAATTGTCTATAATATTGGCCCCCAAAATAGCTCTCTACAGCTTGATAAGGTCTGTCGATATATATCTAGATTACAGGTCTTTTGTATCCAATTTGCAAGCTTTGGCTGGAGCTGTTTCCTATTTTATAAGATATATATTGTGTCTTTCTCTGTAATATTCTAATCTGCCTACTGAAATCTGAATACTAATCGCAGAAATGCCTCAGTACTAGGTCTTGTCTTCGGCGGTGGGTCTCCGCTTATGTGGCTTGTACTAGGATTATATCGATCTATATTCTGTTGTGTAATTCCCTTGAATCGACCGCAGAATAGTCCGGTTGGTGGGATAGGATATGGTTATATTCGGACTTCGAGGGTTATAGGTACCGAGATTATGACTATTAGTGGCTATGCGGGCTCGACTACGATATTGTATAATATATCCTTTAAATCTATTGAGAAGTGATTGTCCTTGATTGGTTTCCAGGATAATCCAGTTAATATAGCCCAGTCTCTAAGAATATTACTTTAACCTTGGAGTTTCGCAATCTCAGGTCTTTTATATAATAATAACTACTGTAATAAGCTTATATAACTGCCACTGACAGGAATTGTAGTAGTAAGATAGCTAGGCCCGCAATAAAATATTACTATTTGACTTTTCGAACGAATACAGATTTTAGCGAAATATGAGAGACTTAGCCGTGGACTCTGGCAGTGTCTGAGCTTTTGTGATGATCTACCGGTGTTTACTTGAGTTACTTATATCTCCCTTTTATGGCTCTCTTGTGTATCTATTTAACCAGTCCCTTATGCTTCACTTCGAATCCCTTTGTCGCTGCCTTCGGTATTATATTATCTCTTCCTCTTATTTACCTGTCTTACTATTATACTTACTATTATACTTCCCATTGTACTTTCTATTACTCTTTCTACTACTCTTTCTACTATTCTTCTATATCCTTATATGTCCTTTTTAAGACTATTTAAACCATGTCTGTCAATCTTGATAATATCTACTTCTACTACTAACCCCCTCCGCTTAAACTATCTCTACCCACTTTCTATTGGATACTCTATCTGACCCCTTCAGTATAACACTGCTTTTTATACTCTCTTCTACCTAAATTATCTGTTGACGCAGCGGCGACTCTCTCGATATCAGACAGGGGTTCTACCCAGTAATCTAGGACTTCTATAAGAGAAGGTAATACTTTGTACAATACGAAGATTTGTAATAAGTTTGATATTGAGTTTAAGAGACTGTCTATGGCAGGAATTACTGTGTATATATAAATAGTGTATCAGCCAAATCTGGAGAGACCCTGTAATTATATAGTTTTTAATAGAGCTGTTAGGGATATTACTTAGAATCAGAATATATTATATATTGGTAAGTAGAGTGTGAAGTAGATATATTTTATATACTTGACTAATTTTTTTACCTGATATAATCAGTAACACGGGAGCTAGTACAATCAGAGGTGAGTGCCAGTAATAACAATAAAACTCTGTCTTAATCTAGTGTCTAACAAAGTGTCTCACAAGAGTGGCCAAACCGGGAGATATATCAATTTGGTGGAGATATCTATTTTTTAGATCTAGTATCTATAATAGCAGAAGCAGAGCAGAATCTTTTAGATAGATATAGCCTACTATCTCTCTGTGCTTGGTCCTTTTTCTAATATAGTCTAGGTCTATCTATCGTTACAAAGTTATATTAAGATAGTATTCTGTTGTTACACAGCTGTAGCGAGATCAATATATATATATCTTCTCCGGCAGCTAGCTCCTATAGTATATATACTGCTTAATTATCTTCAGCCGATTTATCAGTGTCTTTCAATATATTATTACACTCTCGAGACAAATCTTGTGTTGAAATTATGAAATATAATAAAGTAAATCTGCAAAATATAAGAAATAAGATCAGGGATTATCAAGATTAAGAAGAGTACCTGGGCTATAAGGCAGTTATAGCACGAAGAGTTAAAAACAATAAATTGTTAGTTATAACAAGATCTAGTCTAATAAATAATATAGAAAGTGGAATCTTAGAAGAGATTCGATTATCTGTAGTTTCCAGTCCTAACCGTCTACTATATTTAATCAGACTCTTGAAAAGACCTCTAATATATACCCGCTCTCTCTGTTCTTAGCTGAATATAGATACCGACTCAGAACAACTGGTCTCTGTTTCTATAGTAATTACAGTCCGTGAATCTGATAAATTGATCGCGGGTACTATAACAAATTATCAAATCCGAAATTAAAATAATAGTTGGTAGGACAGCAGTAAAAGCGACAGTACTGATAATTATACAGGAGTATAGAGCTTTCCTAATAAGTAGTACTACTCTAAAGTAAAATAGCTACACGAAAGATATAAATCTGGAGTGCTACTGAGAAAAGTAATACAAAGTAACTCTACTTTAATTAAATATACTACCGAGAAATATACAAATATATTCTAAAATCTTTCTAATAGTGACAAAACCACTGCGAACAAGGCACAGGAGATCTTTGGCCGAGGGGTTCTATATATTCAACTGTATAGCTGTCGATATACTTACTCTTTTATATTCCTTCCAGAGACTGTTTACAGCGAACTACTGTTACTATCGCCGCGGGTATCTCCTGAGTATTTAATATACTCCGATAGTCGCTCTCAGAGCCAGTCTTTGCGACGAGCAACGCGTAGAAAGTATTATAAGCGATTACCTTATTTATCAGCAGAGAATCAACGTTTGATCGAGTTGAGAAGTCAACGCGGTCTGCCTTGGTGAGAAATTGTGAAACAGTTTAAATATCGGACCCAGGTATCTCTTCAGGCTCAATACTCCAAATTACACAGGGAAGCTGTGGGTGAAACTTGAGGTGGCTTGGCTCCAATTAGACGACGCACCTCAAATTCAGGTGCCAAGTACGGCTCCTATTGCACCGCTTCTCTGTTGCTCACCACCGCCTGCTGTCCTGGGGTATTTCGGTTACCGACGGGAATGGATAATAACGTTCCTGTTGGGGAATAGCGCATCGCCTTGCCAACAAAGCAAGAAAAGCAAGATGATTCGGTCACGAGACCATATGTACTTGGATGGCGAGCCTAATAGCTTACACATGAAACTCGCGAAGGCCAAGGGCAAATCGAGAAGTTACCCTTTTACAATGTTTGAGCTAGTTAATATCTATGGTTCTTTTCTAATAGTTTTAAAGGTTCCTTGATGTAACGTAATTATGTAAAACCACGGCTTGCAAATGGCCATACGAAGTGCCCTTAGTAAGGTCAGTGGTATGTGAAGTCTTTTGCCAAGGGTGCCTACGGAGGAAGAGAGTGACTAATTCCGTCTCAGCTAGTAGCTAGATAGTGTTACAGTGAAACCGTAACGACTCCAGAGTACAGCTCCAAATTTTCCATAGACCTGGCCTCTAGTCATGTGATGAATCGGCCGACCTGCCCCACCATGCCCCTCAGCTAAATATTCACTCGGACGCGGAGTTTCCTTTTCACAGGATGCACTTACTCTATTATAAAAATCAGGCCCCAGGCCATATCAATTTATCACCTGATAAACACACCAAATGCTATAAGAGAGTCAAAGGGGATTTTCATACCGGCATATCTATATTGTTTTCATCCAACTGGACCAAAAGAGAGCGTCTCCCGATATTACACTATCGAGCATCGCCATTCTGATATTGCGATAGGTTTGAAAGCCCTTGTATTTGCTTCTACGTTTCCTTCTGGGGTGGAACTTATTAACTAGTGGTAGAAGATTGTGCAGATAATACCTGTGTGCTTGATATCGAGGAAATACTTTTATGGAGGAACTGGCGCGTTTCTTACGGACGGCTCACTGGCAACAGACGGGTCACAATACATATTTCTGTGATGATCCCAGATTAGAGACTTTATGGGTTGATCTGGTCAAGGAGCTGCCAGCCTCACTGAAAGGCTACGGTCTCCAAGCGTGGAAATTAAATGGAACAACGAAGATACTAGAACCAGAAGGTTACATACAACCATTGCCTTCTATTCCTGGCGAAACGACCTCAACTGATACCAACGAGCCCCGAATCTTAGGAGGGCCTAAATTGACACCTGAATCAGGCCCAATCCCTTTTACGAGTGAAGTCATTCTCACCGGATCACTTTATTTTATAGTAGCTCTCCCCCCAAGAAAAAGTAAATGACAGGACGCTTTACATGACGTGGCGGGCTGATTGACGATTTCTCGACTTATTGACAATTCTTCAACACCTTTCAGTTGTTGAACAAATTGCCCATATCCGACTCTTGTGGAGGTTCTGGAATAAATTGTGGATAATCTGAAAACATCATCATGTCAAGGGGAGCGAATTGAGGGTACGACGAGAATATAGTTGTGTCGATCGATGTTGGTGGCACGAACTGTGGATGCTTCGACGGGCTCATTGTGTCTACAGGCGAAGGTGGTACATATTGGGGGAACAAGTACGGAAGTAAAGTTTCCATAACCTGTGCTGTAGAGTTTAAATTTTCAGTGCTTTCCTGAGAAATGTGTACTGACTGATCCGGATAACTGTCTGTGTTTGTGTTTGACTGAGATTCTGGCGAATGGAGAGAAACATTATGGTCTGGATCACGGTCCATTGAAGGAAAAGTTGTTGATTCAGCCGTCTGACAGTGGTGAATATCTTAAAAGTCATTAGTTCTGTCACAGTGGACGCAGTTTAATCACAGAAAGCTTACCACTGCCCAAGTGAAATGCTGTATTCTTATTGGAAGGCGTGCTTGAAGGTATATCATTGCGCTGATATTCCGCATTCGTCCACCCTTCTGTGTTCATCAACGAACTTTGTTGCAGCGATATGGTATCTGGCGCAGCTCGCGGCACCCCCGTGGACCAGGTTTTTGACGCCTCACACCGATCCTCGAAATCAGGCACTGTGGGCTGAGGGTGAGAAACTAGAACACGTCAGTAGGTATCAGCCATTTACCCATGTACAGAAACTGACTCCCAGATGTATCAATATCCATATCTCCTTCTCTACTCCACTGATGCTTTCTGGAACACGTACGAAACGCGACGCTATTTTCAAGATTTTCCGCATTGAAGTTACTTCTGCCTTTGTAATGGAATGGTTCTAGGGGGCCATCAGACTGTCCATTAAAATTCGGACATTCCACGTCTTCGGGCTGAACTGCAGGGGTTGATATAGAAGAATCATTGTTGATATTGGCACTTGTCTGACCCAATGATAATGCTGCGTTTTGAGGACGCGAATGCGGTGATGTGTGTACGTTCGACGACCGCTGGTTTTGGGATGCTATATCAAAATGAGTATTGTTGGTAAGAGCCAGCGTAGTGTATATAGAAGCTTACCAATAGCTGCACGTAAAGGGCTACCTTCCAGGAACTGCCAATTCTGTGTAGATCTGGACAGATGGTCGAGTTCCTTTCGTTGGTTGATCTCGATAACATTTTCACTGCTGTTTGCTCTCGTATGCTGCGATTCATGTACCGAAGCGTTTCCCCCAAGTTGTTCCGTATTAGTGCCCGCGGTAGCAGTGGGAGAGCGATGGTTCGCTGAAGAGGTACGAGCTATGTCCACTCTTCGTCTTTTATACTCGTGCGATTTATTCTCTACAAAAATAGTCAGAATGGGTCTCAAAACAGTCCAGGGCATGTTATACTCGGCGTTCCAGGCGAAGTCTTTGTCCGTTTTCTACCCTCACTGACGTTACAATAATTGTCCACTTGGAGCTTGTCTTGAAGTCGTTTAGAGACGAACTTCCCTAAACTTATTAGATTATAATCCTCCACAGTGCGCTTGATCCCACGTTCGAGGAGTTGGATGCACTTTTCTTCGACCTCGGGACGGTAGCGCCTACTATAGTAGCTAAGGAGTGTCAGTGTTGGCATAACGAAAAGATAGATAAACATACGTTGCTTCATGCACATCTAAGGGCAAAGCAGCAAGATACCCATCACCGCCAAGGTTGCTAGCCCAAATCGCATAGTTGCGTCCTTCCTGGATAGCGTCCTCAAGTCGTTCAGCATCTGTTTTGTACTCTTTATCGACGGATGGATATTGGCGTTGAATTACTTCGACAAGTAAGCTTGACCCGCGCTTGTGCCATTTTTTACCTGTATGATAGCCATGATCAACGGCACTCCGGAACATGTTCAACTTTTCAAATCGGCTTTTGATTCTGTTAACCTCCACTTCACTTTCCCTTTGTTTCAGTATACCAATAGCTAGACCCCAGTGGTAGTCTGTTGAGCCTTTGGATCCCTCTTTAAAAAACTCCTCAGAGTTCCTCCTCCATTTCTCAAATGTCTTCTTCAAGGTGTCAGTGATCACAATCTGGGGCGGTGATCTGACAATATTGCCGTTTTTTGGATGTATAGTGGCCGCGGACTTCGTGCTCTCCCCCGAATTTCCAGATGCAAAGAAGCTAGTGAGTAATGTCTTTTGGGTACTAGGAAGATTGCTGATACGACTCTGCAACGTCTCCTTAGGAACTGTTTTGTTCTTCTCTAAAAACTGGAGCAAATTGCGTAAAATTTCGTCAAACTCAGTGAGTGCAGTATTGCTATTGTTCGATGGCGACTCCATAGTGACTGGTTTGCAACGAAAGTGGTTTCCCGCAGCTTGTGGGTAAAATGTCGGTGAAAGGTAAAGGACAGCGTTCTCATCTGGTTACCCCTCTCTCTAGAATACCCCTGTACCGCTTGCAGATACACTATACCCTTTTCGCCAGAATGTTGTGCTCAGCACAACATTCTGGCGAAAAGGGTATAGTGTATCTGCAAGAGATGTGTTGCTTCCCTGTACAGATACGACGTTGGTTCGCACGGTCCCTTACTGAGAATTGGCAAGGCTTTCGCGATTGAACAAGATAAAGGCAGTTACACCCCCTATGTTCAAGTCCATTTTGATACACAATATTCCTTTCATCTCTCAGCATAATTTGTCTCTATTGCTTTTTCTCGACATTCTCCATATTCCAGCCATGTGTACCTATACTTTTGCGCGGCTCCACTATCGAGGTTGCCATCGGGATGAACCCCACAGTTTTGAAAAGCGCTACTATAAACCATGCGACCCTGTTAAACTAAACAACGAGCCCTACTGTCCCAATGCTACCTTCGATTCGAGTCTTGGTGTGTTCGGTACTACGACCAGGCGAGGTACTTGCCCTCGTTGCCGAGACTCGGGTGTATCTGTAGATACAGTTGTGGAATCGGTGCGTTCACAAATATCCTTGTTATGATGGATCTAACTTGAGTAACTGTGGACAGGCCAGCTTGGACTGAGCTTCCCTCTCCGCTACGTGATTGACCATCGCCGAGATGGACTTCATGGCTCAAGGTTCCGCGAAATGAAGAAAACAAGGGGTGGTAACGGTTGTTTGGCTGAGTGTATTGATGGACGTGGAGCTAGCCTGGTTCTGTTCAATTTGTTACTTCCCAATGAGTGGGGCGGCATGATATAGTAAGCTAAACCAATCTAAGTAAGAGCTAAGGTCGGGCCGATCCCTTTTGTTCGAGACCCCAATCATTTTAAAAGAGACCTATCCATCCCTATCCAGGTCTGGACTTCTTTTGTAGGAATATCTTTCCCAATCACCTTTCTCTTCTATACCAAAATGGTTAAACGTCCTGCTGAGTCCTACCTATCTGGCAGGCAATCTGAGTATACATTGATCGCTGTGGGCACAGTAAGTCCTATCTATGCGATTAATAGCCATTCTGTCATAAAACGCCGCCCCGAGTCTTCGGACGATTTTGCTTGTCAAGCCTACAACATCGAAGTCCGCGCTTACGAACGGTTGGGTGACCATCCCCGAATCGCGAATATACGGAAAATTACGGAGGATGGTATAGTTATAGAACGAGGTGAATGCCTGCGCCAGAAGATCCAGAGCCAGAAATTGAAGACGGCAATTCGGACAAAGCTCCGTTGGGCCCAAGAGGCCGCAGAGGGTTTGCGCTACATACATACTAAGAATATTATCCATGCGGATGTTGGCTGTCATAATCTACTTCTGGACCAGTCAGGCCACATAAAGTTTATTGACTTTGCTGGCTCTGGTATCGACGGGGAAGCTGCAACAGTATGCTACGAATGGTGTAGCTATCGGCCAGGGTCTGATCCAGATATAAAAACAGATATATTCGCCTTCGGTTCGACACTATTCGAAATAGAAACTGGTGAGAAGCCTTACCAAGAATTGGAGAAGACACTTGGGGCTGGAAAATTGATGAGAAGGGTGGAGCATCTTTTTGCCATGGGGGAATATCCGAGAGTGGACATGCTTGTACTTGGTGGCGTTATTCTGCGTTGCTGGAATGGGGACTACTGCTCGATGGATGACGTTTCTCGAGACATAGGCGCGTGCTGCCAGGGCATGCATGGCCCAGGCGATATTGTTGTTCGTCGCCCTGGAAGATGTATTTTATTTTAGTAATACACGGGTTCACATAATGCTACGCCAAGTACCGCAGCTATAGACTGTGTAGTGGATATATGGAATGATATTTTCTATTTCTTTTTAGCTGTTTAGACCATTCTTCGCTTATTATTCCCATTACTCACTGTGACTTGTTGGTATTCAATCAAGCCTTAGTATGTTTTATATCCATTTAGAAGTTTGAAGTCCTGTGCATAAGACTAGACAGAAGTGGAAAGGTGTATTTCTTAGCTCCGCTTATCAAAGCTAGCCCTTTCAAGTCTGTATAGAGGAAATGCATTACCCAAGACTCAAAGGATCTAAATGTTCACGGCATCAATATTATAGGCCTGTTATTTCAAGTTAGGTTTGAAACTAGTGCCCCCATGCTTAATCGAGATTCTCCATCCATAGCATCATCACCGCTTGCGCAGCAAGCAGAAGCGAAAAGTACAAACAGGAGAAAACGTTGGAAGCATGCACGATAACGAATCACCCTGGTCGTTCATATGCCAGGAGACCACTATCCAGCGATATAAGACTGTGAAAAGCCTTGTTTTTACACCGCATATTCTTTCAGGGAACAAACTGATATCATCCTCAGACAGTATTGGCGCTCTTTTCTCCAACTTACAGCCTTATTGGTCTTGCTCGTTAATCATGACTGGCTTCAATGACATATTCCTGCAGGCAGTACTCCCGCCGTGGCTCGGGTGGTTCTGCTTCGGTCGACGCCCCCCCGTAGGTTTGATGGACTGCAACAATGGCAGACAGGATGACAGCCAATCTAGAGATAGTGCTGTGGGCCATGATGAACCGCAGAGTCACTCTTCGGAGTATCAAACCCCAAGGCCATTATCCTATGAGAAGGAGCAGCCAAACCCGCCGGTCCCAGTGAAACGTCAGAATTATAGTTTGTTCCCAAAACAATCTAATCCCCCCTCGATCCTCAACATACAGCGCATCAAGCCAGCTTCACCTACAGACTTAGGAGAAGAGGCCATAGCGGCGATACCAGAAACCTTCCGCAATGATCAGGCGCCAACAAACGGAGCTGAAGACACTTCGACTTCCAGGGGCAGTGGAGAAATAATTGGTCTCCCAGAGCCAGGCTTACCCAAACCAGTAAGTCGCAGCTGCTTTAGACCTTGGCCTGAACATGCTGATTTAACCATAAGTTGCAGAAACAGGTATGGTTGGTGTTTACCATGCTGGACGATTCGACCAAGGATCAAATTAAACCACTCAGTTATTTGGGCGTTTTTCATTATCCTCTTCAAGAGGCGGTCATTTTGTTTTCTGTAAAGCACCGGGAGAAGACGAAACTCATGGGCTGCTCGGTGTCATTTTTCAACGAGAAGAATCAGGGTGCATTGAGACAAAAACTGTCTCCGTTTGTACCCAAGGACGAATGGCCGTATCTTCTTGCTGAACACGGATTTAGTCCCATGTATAACCAGTGTGGCTTTCTGTAGGAATATATATATATACCTCCTCTTGAGTATCTATTTTTTTTCTCGCCCACCAACCGTTCAAACATGGACACCTGCTATTTCGCAATCCGCCGCAGTCCTTCTCCCTGGGTAGTCTCTGTTCAGCTATCTAATCTTCCTTGTGACAAATGTGAAAAACACTATGTTCTAACATTTTATTACGATGGAGGCAACGCTATCCTAACCGCTAATCACTTCAAATTTTTATCTGAGCCAAAGCTTTACAACCAACTATTATGGCTTGAGAATCGCTCCCTGCAAGCTAGAGAGCTTGTGACATATACGGTGCATTATTCTTGTCCTAATTTGAAAGAAATCGCATGTGAGGTCTACGACATGGACCCTCCAGAAATTGAACATAGTTGTTGTAGCTTCATGTGAGTTCAACGATATCGTGTTAGTACGAGTTTACTGAGCTAGTATAGACATACTTTTATTACAAAGTATACAAACAACGGGTATCTTTTGGACTCTCATATAACATCCTGTAAGTACCAAAGCCCAACACACTGGCTCTCCTAAGGCTTATGGTTTCCAAAGCCCAACGTCATGATCCACGTACCCAGGAAACAGTACGTGGGCACTCTGCGCAGTAATTTCAATGGAAGCTTTGAGCGGGGCAAATAGCTTCTCGTAAAGGCCAATGCCAATCCAATTCAATGAAAATCGAACTTCAAAAATTTAGTTTCGTACTCAAGGATAGCCAAAAGTGGATTATTATTCTAGCCTCCGAATGGTGTGAACACCCTAGTCGATCATTCTCTTAATGGGACAGGGAGCGGAATAGTAGCCCCACCCAAAGAGACAAGAAGTCACATTATATTTGTCCTAGTTTGTTTCGCGGTCATACAATGGTACTGAGTGGGTAGTATACTGCCAATCTCTGGGTCGTGGCTCGGGACACTTTTAAGTGCTTTGGATAAACCCCCGTACTATCGTAATACTACATAGTCTCTGCATTATATATATTTCCAGTCGACTATCATATCTATTTCTCATTCCATTATAAGCTGCTTTCCTTATACTCCCGCTATTGAGCTACTATGGCATCCACAGACAACGATATACACGACAAATTTGCTGTTGTTCAGGTACAGCGGATCAAGATGGCGCAATGCGAACAGCACTGGGTGATAACATTCAGCGGCTCGACCAAATGTACCAGAACTATTACAGTAACTGGTCTCCAGAGCATCGAAGCCCCAACCATGTTTATGGACAGTATCGGATACCGTTTCACTTCTAATTCCATTACTATGAAGGAATTAAAAGACCATATAGTCATTCCACCTCACATAACGAATTGGATGGTTCGTTCTTGTGAATTCTGTCCATGTGCTTATTGGGTGTGAGTATATCTTTATTAAGAAGTACGTGGTTTATTAACGTTATGAAGGTTTTACATTATACATGACCTACATAGAGTAGGCTATATCAGTGAAGTCTCAGATGATGGAGTGCGGGTGTCAGAGTTAATGTCTAGGTTGAATTATGTGTAGTAACTGATGTACTTCGGAAGGATATAGGCCTTAAAAGGTCTAGCCTCTGGGCAGATTGATACTTAATCTTTTCTTGCTTCGTAACTGCTTCTCCTGCAGATCGCAATATCCTGAACAAGGTTAGTAGCTAGTTGTGTTCGGATTTTATTTCGCTGCACTGTGTAGAACATAATCGTATTAATGTAACGTAGCAAGTATTGATCGCTGCATATCATGTCCTTTTATCATGTGTCTACATATGTTACGCTTTGGGCTTAGGGGAGGAGCAAAGACTGTGATTCTAGAACTTCTGAGACTTGTGGAGTAACCGCTGATAATTGCTTACGAGTCAGGTAAATATTCTCTACAGTTATACCCTATAAACCTACTTTGTTGAATATAGAGCGGATAAAGTAAGATCTTTATTTATAGTAGGGAGAAATAGATATAGAAAAAAAGAGCAGCTCGATAATCTATCTGGAAATTTATTGTATATCAAACTATCTGGCAGTCTTGTTTATATGTGTACAGAGAGTAGTATATATATTGTCCTTTTCTCTCTATAACTATTCTATAAAAAAGTATCTGAATATACTTGCTTTTATTATTTTATTAGCTGCTGTACCCCCCGGGCGGTATCTTTAGCTTTTATCAGTAAATTTTGTATAGTAGTAAGTTATTATATTATTAAAATAGAATATGGACTGATATAGATATTCTCTAGTAACTGTCAGATCGACACTCTAAACTGGAAATATAGATCAAGAAACCTACGATATCACAGGGATCAAAAAATTAAATAAAACAGAGAAAATAATAGTTTCTCTTATAATCCAAATAATCGATCAAGTTTGATAATAAATAATTATATTAACTAAGAAATTTTGTTTTCTGCTACAAAAGTACTTGGCTGGAAGTAGAAAGAGATAATTATTAAAGAAATAGGCAGCTTGATAATCTGTCCAGAAAGTTTTTTAATTATATATAGAATCTCTGTCTAGAATTTATATAAAAGGTTGAGAGCGGTAGTGCTATAATAGGAGGGAATTTTTTATTTTATTTTTTTTATTATTATACTTGAGCCTAATAATCTGGCAGTTTTGTGTACTTTCGCTTAAAGTATAGTATATATATTTAAATAGCCTAGTTATATTTTATTTCTGTTTCTATTTTATATTCTTTAATGTCTAAATATTTTCTTTAATAGTATAAATAAAGATACTACTTCTTAGCTCTATTGGGATATGTCTACAACTTATAGTAAGTATTAATAGATATCAAAATATATAGTTCTGTTATACTAATAAGAATTATATAGGTCTCTGTTATATAGTTCCTTTACAGAATATAAACAAAATATATTAGACTCGAAAGGAGCTTCTCCTAAGATTATCTAGTATAGAACTAGCTTTTATTACTATATTATTTAGACAGGCTGTGAGAACAAGAAATAATAGGTTTACTTTATAGCTATTACTATCTACCAAGAACTTGTACTGATTAGTAGTATTCTATTATAATTATATTATAAATACTCTTGACAATATTGCTGGAGACTCTCTATATAAAAATATACAAGAGCTACTACAAGGATTAAGATATAAATAGTTAATAGATATTCTTATTTTAGTAGCGGAATACAAAAAGAAATATAGAGATAGACTGCTTGGTAAATAATCTCTAATAAATAGTTATAATACACTATATTAATAGAATAATAGATAAATTAATTATAATTGAGATCCTACAAATCTATCTTTCTCAGGATATAGCAAATAAGAAAGTACTATATAGAGATAATATAAATAAAAAACAGGGCTCTTAGATATTAATAAATCTCTGGGAGTTTTTCCAGAATTTTATTTTCTATAGTTAAAAGATAGAGAAGACCTGTCAATATTCTTGAGAAATACTTAAAAAGTTAATATATATACTTTTAAGGATATTTTTGAATTGTCTTTTGAGCTATATTAAACTATACTTTTAATATATTTACTCTTCTAAGTATAGAATAGTCCCGAGTTGGTAGTCTCGCAGTATAAAGTTCAATAATAAAAATAACTATAGTAAAGCCGATAAGTCTTGTTACT